AAAGGTACAAGATCCCAATGATGAATGTAACTGTACTGTATACCTAAACAGTACCAATAAACTCAATGAGAAAAAAAGAAACAAGAATGTGGGTTCCATAGATATCAGAGGATATGAAGATGTAGGAAGAAGGGAAGGCAGACATAAGAGGGGAAAATAACAATGATCATGATTAAGTATGTACATGTACCAATTGCCTGTTAGAAATGTAAATATAATGTTTGTTAAATAATTACTGATAAAATAAGTAAAACATATACTGACAATAGCAAGTAAAATTAAATTATAAAGCATGTTTAACACAATGGATGATATATCTTAGAAAAAATCTGAATAGATGTTAGTTATGTGTTCTCTTCATTAAAATGATAGAGATATGAAGTAATGGAAACAGTTTTCTTGACTTACTGATTTCACAATTTATTACATCCTTCATAATCATGCTGTATATGAGAAGTGCATGTGATTTTATTTGTCCACCTGAAAGATAAAATTTAAAAATTGGGAAAAATTTAATAGGAAAAGACTTCTAATATTTTGTATCATTGTGGGCAACAATCCATAAAATTTTCAAAGATTGTTTTCAGTAGGTACCCCAGGTGAGAATGTTCTGGAAACATTTTCAAGAAGAAATTACGTATTGCTTGGTGTAAAACTTGTGACTTTGAAATCAGTTAAAGATAAAATAAATTTCTCCTGGAGAAAATAAGATGATCTCCTTACGTCAAGTCAATACACACAACATGGACTAAAAAATTTCCTCTTTTTCTTCGTTGCCCAAGGGAGCTGATTTCTTTGGAGACTGAAAACGTCATACAGCAATTTGTTTAATTAGGAGCTTTGAGATTCAAATCTTTAGAATCTGGAAAATATAAACACATACCTGTGGCCATTCAGCTTTATCTCTGGGGTCACCCACTGTGAAAAGGTAAGTGGGTTCCTAGGAACAGAGCTTGTAGAATGGAAAGCTGCAGCGACAGACACAGGAGAGGAGAATGTGTTCTAGAGAGGACAGGTGGAAGAAGGAGAGGGGAAAGACAAGGTTGGTATTTGTCTTGCCCTCTAGAACAACAATACTGTGAAATCCCCATATTTGGTCTATGGAGATGAAGTATATACATTCTGAAGCAAAAACGTCGGTTTCATTGGGAACTGACTACCAGTTACTTCCCTTCCTCTTCTCTGGCTTTAGAAACTAGAAAGTCTGCTGAATATGAGTTTGTTTGGTTTTTTTAAAGATCCTCAACACTTCACCGCTTTTTCTAATAAGTTGAAGTCTCTGATCAGGTTTTCTTGCATTTTTAAATTTTAAGTTTTTATCAGCACTTATTAGCAATGCATAAGGTTTACAGTCACCACTGGCACAGGTGCATATACCATCCTAGTTCTTTTTTATCCCCTTCTCCTCTCCCTTCACCTTTCCTCTAACTCTTGGATACCTTCTCTTTTGCAGAAGGTCTTTCTCCTTGAATCCTGTGAACTATTTTTACTTTGCTGTTTAATTTGTGTATACATCAAGTCTCGCATAGAAGATAAATCATGTGATATTTAAACTTGTGACTGTGACTTATTTCACCTAAGGTTATGTTCTCAAAGTGCATCCATTTTTAAAATACAGTTATTTCTTATTAGCTATATGCTGAAAATCTATTACATATGAGGTATTATTTGCCTTATTTCCATTTCAGTGATGTTTGTCTACTATATTCCTCGCCCATATTCACAGGAAGATTCCCTATTCTGATAGCCCTTGTTTTTCCATATTATTTTAGTTATGATTTAGTCTTCGTGTTCACAATAGTGTCTACCCAAAACTTTGTTATTTATGGTATTTTATAACCAATTCAATTACCCTTTGCCACATTACCAATTCATTACATGTTTGGGAAAACATTGAGTGATTACTTAGTTTTGTGTCTGTACTGTCTTGGGATAGGCTGGAAAGTTTCATTTTTTTAAATGATAACAGACACTTTGATCCTGATGTTTAATATACACCAAGCTTGCTCAGAGCCTACATTGTTACAGGTACCGTGCAAGCCTCTCACAAGACAGATGTTGAGCAGCAGCTTTGAAAACCACAAGCTTGGTGTGTGACAGGGGAGCCACACACTCTGTCCTGTCCGTCTAAAGCGTTTCTTTCTTCCTCTTCTCTTAAAATTGCCAGGCCAACTCTTCCTACTTTAGAGAAGGTTCACCTACCCACATTCTCAGATGAATCTGCTCCACAATATTGTTTTCTTTTATTAATTAAAAAGTCACTAGGCATTCCTTATACTAATATTTTTTTCATGAATAATAAGACAATGTTTAAAATATGCATTTTTATTTTAAAGTATATACAATAATTCTGTCGATATCATTTCTGAATATTTTAATTTTAATCAATGCATATTTTGGCCATTGACTTTGCTGATTTTAAGAGTACATTCACAGTCTGGAAAATAAAAATTTGAGATCGCATAGAACTATTATTTGATTTTAATGGTGGTTGCTTTCATTTCCTCCCTTTATCTATATAGTAATCATGCTTTTTCCCCTACTGAGAAGAACTCACCTGGGAGACATTCTAGAAGAGAAGAATCCATAGACATATTCAGAATTTATAAGAGTTGTATTGTACGTTAAAAGAGGTAACAAACCAGTTGTACTTATAATCGCATGAAATCCCTCTAATGGTGACTGCTGCCATTTAATGAGATACTGCTGAATGAGAGATATTAAGATATATTTACTGACATTCTAACAACAAAATTCTTATTTATGAGGTGCTCATTGTAACACAGCAAAGAGTAGAAAACAAAATCATCATTTTATTTAATTTTGTTTTAATCCTTCCATGTAGTGAACATGTACTGTTCTTTTTTTTTTACATGTACTGTTCTTAATGAAGAGATGTTGTATATTTAATGATTAGAGTTTAAAATTCTCTTTCAAGGTAACAAGGATTTTATGTTAAATGACCAAGATTCTATTAAAGAAAGTCTTTGACAGAAGTACTTATTCAAAATAATATAATATAAAAGGAAAATGTGAATAAGAATAGTAATAAAGATTACTGTCATTTACTGAGATTC